TATGTTCTCCCTCATATGTGGATCCTAGCACCAAATCCTTTTAAATTCCAGGCCCTTTTAATAAGATGATGCTATACAGCAGTCCATTCGGCATGAAATATCTACCCTCATTACGACTTAAGCTGAGCCTGATTGCTAAATATCGTCACAATTGGGCTTGTTGATGGTTGTGCTCATTCATTAAAAGAGGACCAAGCAGGGTCATTGGACCCTCACTGGAATATCCAGCCACTCTTCCGAGCCAACTGTATGTAATTTGACCCTAATCACATATGGCCTCCTGGATTTGGGGAGGGCTAAAGTATACAATCTAGGGAAGGCTAGGACGAGAAGGCATGACCCATGCTGGGTCAAGGCTTTTCAGTGTGAATACCCTTAGGTCACACATACACCTCAGCAACCCCTCAGTTATCTCGGTAAGTAAGCTCAATAAATTCATTGGTTTCCCAGTAAAACTTTAATCAAACATTGGCTTGACACTAGAACCTTAAAAGGGAATAAGCATTGCTTAGCATCCCCAGGAATAGAAGTCTCACAACAGATGGAAAATTTATTTGTTAATGTCATTATGTTCCATAATTATTAAAAAAAGAAAACAAGAATGTAAAAGATGTTAAAAGGATATGGGAATGGTGATATCTTCCAAAACAGACAGAAAAAATGAGAATGCCTAAGCAAGTGTCATCACTGCTTAGGTCTATTTAGGTTTGTTATGATATATAAAGGATGAGACAAATATAATATATACGTAATCTTAAAATTTCTAAGGTCATAGTTTAGTCAACTTGTTTAAAGAACAAAATATATATCTAGTCAAGGTTTTTCTGAGAATATTTGGTTTTTTACCTAAGCCTTATCTACACAGCACATGATAATTAAAAGTACCAGATTTGAGGAACTAACCTTACTCGATGTTTAACAGCCGTAGTTTGAGGCCTATACTAATGTGGTCAGACGGACTTAATGAACAGTTTTTGCCCCTTACCCTCCAAGGTCAACTAAGTTCCAGGGGACTATGGAACACCTCTGAAAAAGTCTTGTAACTGTGGTGAATCACCTGTCCTCTTGTTCAGGGAGGACATGGAGACCCCATGAAATGGCCTTGAACCAGTTTCCAGTCTTCAAAGAGGAGGGTCAACTGAGAGGAAACATCTCATTCATGCTTCCAAGTAAATCTGGACATGTTCGAGCAGGACCTTTGACTTATCTTCACATAGACTGAACTGGTAAAAGAAAGAAGCCTGGAATTCCTCCCAAGCCCATGTGACCCTTGAGGAACAGATCCTCAAATGACCTTAAGTGTAAAAGTAAATTGATTTATTGGGGCCAACTGTATGGTCTTAAACACCCGAAAGGAAAGTAAAACCAAAGAGTAAAGTCATCAGTGTATTTCTTTAAGAGTTCAAGGGATTACACTTCCCAGACATTAGGCTTAAGTCTATATAAAAAGTTATTTAGACAATTATTTCTCATTGATGATTTTTTTCCTAACCAGAAAGTGCTGCTCAGATGTAAGACTTCAAATCTTGGTCTCCAATACTGTGGTGTCCACCTGTAGGTAAAGGAGACAACCAGAATTTGTTCTAAAATGATGGATAAACTTGTTTTCTCCCCCTATCTAGAACCCTTTGAGAGGGAACTGACACTGATTCTAACCACTCCAACAGCTATCAAAATACCTGAAAGCAAATCCTGAACCCACCACCTTAAAGCCCAGCCTTGGAAGACAAAAGAAAAATGAGCAGAAATCCAATAGAGGGATGATTTTGGAAGCCCCTGCCAAGAAATCCCAATGGACTCTCATATGAACATTTGAAAATTGCTCTGTTCTGACTTTTTTCTAGTTCCCTGTCTGGAACTTATAATACTAATTACCCTTGCCTTTACTTCTCCTTCACATCTCCTACTCACGATTCAAAGAGTTTCTTTTCCCCTTAATGATAAGAGTTATGCAATTTGGGAGTCTTTTAGATAGACCCACTGAAGGGGTACTCCAATTGCCTCACCCTGTGGCCCTGTTTAACATGGAAGAAGCCAGAGTGGTCTGTGTCCTTATTCCGTATTGGCAATTTGGGTAACCTCTTCAGAGGTTGGTGTGATAAGAATAGGAGGTAGGAATTGGCTAGGCAGTTAGGGTAAAAAGACCCCAAAGAAAAGTAGCCAGTTTCTTGGCTTAAAGTCAAAATGTCCTTGGGCCTCTTACCAACATACTGTGTTCCAATGTCTAAAAATGTTGAAAGTATTTGGGAGCGTGTATCTAACCCTTGAGAGATTTTAGGGTTACCTCTTCAGAGGGAGGAATGTTAGCGTAACCAAATGCCCCATAAAAATAAATAAATCAAAGAAGAAAGAGTACATGAAGTTATCAGAAAAAAGTGATGGGGAGATATGGGAGGAGTTGGAGGGGAGGTAGCGGGTATGGATTTGATCAAAACACCTAATAGACGTGTATGAAATTCTCAATAAATTATTTATTTAAAAAAATAAAATAAAAAATGTTTTATATTGGCAACTCATTGTGGCTAGTGACAGAGAGCTGAAGAAGAGCTAAAACATGGGAATCTAGGTAGGCTGACTAGACCCCAGTGGATGGGCTTGCACTGGGGAACATCTGGGGACACTGACTTGACACAGTGGTTTTTAAGCGGGGTGACAGAGTATATGGGCTCCAGTGGGGGGGCTATGGGAGAGTGCCGATGGGGACGGAATATAAAGATGGTTAAGACTGATTGAGATATTCTGTATGAAATACACAAAAATTCAATAAAAATAAATTTTAAAAAATTTATTCAGTATTTTTGTGTATGAGTGTATTGCCTGCGTATGTGTAAGTTGTACCATGTCATGCAATGCTTGTGGAACTCAGTAGCATGTTTCAGATTCCCCTGGAACTGGAGTTGGGGATGGTTGTTAGCTACCTTGTGGGTGCTGGGAATTGAGCCTGAGTCCTCTGCAAGTGCAGCCAGTGTTCTTAAACACTGAGCCATCTCTCCAACACCCTCCCACTGGCTCTTTATTGTCAGTAATATTTTGCTTTTCACATTTTCATTGTATTTGTGTTCTGAGTATCCCTTGACCAAAGCAAAATAAGCCATAAGAAATGAGACCTCGAGTCATCTACTCAAGCAAGGTGATTAATGTTTATTTATCTATTTTCTTATTTTTTGACACAGGGTCTCACTATGTAGCCCTAGCTCACCTGGAACTCATGTGCCCCAAGCAGCCTGATTCCTCCCAGTGGCAGGGCCTGCTGCAGAGAATTAACTGTGGAGAGTTAGCCACGGAGGGAGGGGTTTTGGGCGCAATCTTGGAACAGAAGCAGCTTGTGGAAAAGATGGTCCAGTGTCTCACACGTGTGGACATGAGAGGGGACATTTATTGACTTGGGGTGAGACTGTGGCCCATGATGCATGGGTGAAAGCTAACAGAAGCTGTGGGCGGGCATGGTAGTGATCTAGAACGGTGGGCCAAGCCTTGCAGAGCTGGGTGCCTGGTGTTGGGTGTTCATTTCTTTGTAAGTCGCCCCCCCATACATATAAACTATGAAAAATTCAGATAAAGATGTGCTATATTGTTTGTCTGATAGCGTCAAGGCCAAGGGACTCTAGAAAACTCAGGCAAAAATTCATTATTTAGATCAGGGAGACCTTGAACTCACAGAGATCTGCCAGTCTCTGCCTCCAAAGTGTTGGGATTACAGGGGTATACCACCACCACCCTTCAGGTCAAAGTACATTTTCTTTAAAAAAGGAAAGAAAAAAACACAAAATCAATTAACAGGGCAAGGACAGAGCAATGAGTTAGAAATTGTTGCACAGAAACACAATGGTTTCAAAACAGCATATTTTATTTGACAACAGACAACGAACCCTCCCATTTGACTCATTGTGATATGTGGGTCGCTTTAAATTACTTTTTGGTGGTCATTCAAAGTTTTCCAATATTCAAAACACTCATGACTCAATATGAGTTTCTGCAGTTTACATCAGTTCACAAATATAAGTATTTTCCTTTTGTTTTGGGATTTTTAGTATACATTCCCTTGTAGTAGGTGGGTAGAGACAAAGTCGTCTTTCAAAACAGCATTTTTCACTGCAACTTCATTTATGTATGAGGGAAGATGATGGTAGAATGGTTTTATTCTTGTTTAATCAATTGGATTGATGGTGGTATCAGTGCAAAAAAGGCTTTCAGTTATTTCTCCTTTCCACTGTCCAATAATGCCTCCCTCATGTATACCTGTAGAAAAGGGTATTACAAAGACTTGTTGATTCTGCATATTAAAAGCCAAACATTAATATTTCAGCTGCATTAGAAGCCTAAGTAAAAGTGCACAAAATGGGGTAAGGAGTAAGATGGCTTAGCAGGTAAAGGTACTTGCCACTAAACCTGGCAACCTGAGTTCAATCCCTGGAACCTATGTGGTGAAAGAGAACAGAGGTCTGCAAGTTGTCCTCTGACCTACACATGCTCACTGAGACACATGTTATCTCTCTCTCTCTCTCTCTCTCAAAATAGAAATGTGAGAAAACTCTAAAATGTGAAAAATGTAAATGTGCAGCAGTGAAAGCAAAAATTCCCACCTAAATCTCTAGCCTTGCTTCTTTTCTTCCCATAACTATACTTAGTCATTTTCCTATTTCCTTCTTCACCTATAGATGCCATCACTGGTCTGCCATGCAAACTATAGTTTAAATGCCTTAAAGACAACAAGAAGAGTAAAACCCTCTTTCTTTGTGTAAAGTGTGACTTCAGCTTTAAAAAGTTTATGATAGAGAGAAGTCGCACTGATTTAATTAAGAAATTCCATTTCTACTTAATGCCAGGCTTAGCTGATAAGTATTTGGACAAAATATTTATTTCTCATAAATACATAACATTTCAGTACTTCTGAACAGTTATCAGTTATTGGAATTGCATTAAACTAAAAAGAAATATCAATTTAGAACAGGGGATAATAATGATCTTGAGACCAAAATCCATACACGAGGAAGCTGTGCTTAGTCACTTCTTCCTCTCATTTCATCCTCTATTTCTAAAAATTGAAAAAGTCAAAGCTCGTACAAGCTTATGTTTAGGGAGCATTTCATTTATTTTCTTCTTCATTTCCATTTTTTATTTTTAAATTTTTTTTGAGACAGGGTCTCACTGTGTAGCACTGGCTTACCTGGAACTCACTATGTAGATCAGGCTGGTCTTGAACTCACAGATATTCAACTGCTTCTGCCTCCCATGTTTTCTATTTTTTGAAAAATTTCCTTCAATTTTTCCCCATTTTTTCAATCCTTTAAATTATTTTTTAATGTTTATTTTAATTTTATATGTATGAGTGCTATGCCTGCATGTATGTAAGTGCACATGTCATGCAATGCCCACGGAAAATAGAAAAGGGCATCAGATCCCTTGGAACTGGGGTTACAGATGGTTGCTACACCTTGTGGGTATTGTGATTAGAACCTGGGTCTTTTGTAAGAGCAGCCAGTGCTCTTAACCTCTGAGCCATCTCTCCAACCTTTGCTTTATTAGTCTTAAATTTTTAGCAAGAACAGAAAAATTTTAAGCTATTTTCATCCACTGACATATGTTCTGCTATAAGAAGATTTTAACTAGATGATAGTGGTGAGACATGATTAGTCTATGAATTAGCTCCCACCCCAATTATCCTATGCTAATGTCTTGGTCACCAGCTAGTGGAACAAATCTTTGAGAAACGATCTAATCATAAGAGCCTGACGTCACAGCATCTTTGGGAGGTGCTGGGAACAGTAATGAAGAAGTAGGGCCTGGTTGAAGGAATTAGGTCTTTGAAGGTTTTTACTTTAAAAAGGTCTATCTTACATGTTTGATGGTGCCTTTAATCCCAGTACTCAGGAAGCAGAGGCAGGCATATCTCTGTGAGTTGGAGGCCAGCCTGGTCTACATAGAATGTTCTGGGGGTACATATGGAGACCCTTTCTCAAATCTCCACCTGTCCTCTAAATAAAAATAAACAATAGCTGTGTCTTGAAATTTAGTGCTCACAGCTAACATGCCCAGCCCCTGTCTCTAGCCAGCTCACTATGTCCCCAAGATTCCTGGTCTAATTTCCTTTTCTATCCATTTCCCTCTACTGTTCTTTGAACTGCCAAGCCAGCAGCAACATCCTAGCCTATTTAAGAATGGCAACATTTGAGGCTTGGTGATGGCTATATTGGACTTTTTCTGTCTCGGCCTATATAGCTATTAGTCTGGCTTGAATGATTTCTTGACCCAGGTGACCCACTTTTTCCCCAGTGTCATGCTGCATCACTATACTGTTTGGTGGACTTCACAGAGAGGTGGCTGGATGAACACCCTTGAACATGGGCAAAATCCCTACCCAGAATGTTTTGGTAGTTCTGGCTGTGTTTCTGAGGGTCAATATATGGTATGAAGTTTCTTCATATGATGACTTCGGGTGGGTAACTTCGGTGTGTTTAACTGTCAGCTTAACAAAGCCTAGAGTCACCTAAGAAGGGAGTCTCAATTGTGGGATTGCTCAGATCAGACTGGTCTGTGGGCATGTCTGTGGGGGAATGTCTTGACTGTTAACTGGTGTAGGGGAACCCAGCCCATTATGGGCATCAGCATTCTTTGGGCAGGTGGGTTGGTCCTGGGCTGTATAAGAAAGCCAGAGAGCAGCGCTCCTCCAGCGTTTCTGCTTCCAGTTCTTGCTTGAGTTCCTTCCCTGGGTTCTGTCAGTCATGGACTATTATTCCCTAAGTTGCTTTTGGTCAGAGTGTTTTTATCATAGCAACAAAAAGGAACAGAGCAGGGTCCCAGCCAAGACTCCTGTTGCAGTTTCAGCCAAAACTTTTCCTTCTCCTCTTTCCCTGTAGCAGTTCCCACCTCTTCCCCCTCTTCTCTGACACAAGAGTACAGAAGCTTGTTAAACAGGCACTCTAATTTTGGAAGGCCCATGCCCAGGGTTATCCAGGCTGCCCCAACATTGCAAGTTGCTAACTGGCTCCTTCTCTGGGACCCATCCTATCAGACTGAGGCTGGTACCTTGGGGAGGTAAAAAGCTAGGGACCACTTCTTCCCAGAAAGTTTTTCATGGTTTTAGTTCTTTTTTTAAAAAAAGGATTTATTCTTAAGGCTGGATGTGGTGGCACACACCTTTAGTCCTCCCAGAACTCAAGAAGCAGAGGCAGGCAGATCTCTGTGAGCTGGAGGTCAGCCTGATCTACATACCAAGTTTCAGGCCAGTTAGGTTGACATGAGACCATGTATCAAAAAAAAAAAAGATTTAATTAAAGAAGAAATTATGTGTATGCTTGTGCATGTGTGTGTGTGTGTGTGTGTGTGTGTGTGTGTGTGTGCAGACATGAGTGCTAGTGCCTGCAAAGGCAGAAGAGTTGAGTCCCCTGGAGCTGGAGTTGTAGGTGGTTGAGAGCAGCCTGATGTGGGTGCTGGGAAGTGAACCTAGGTCCTCTACAAGAACATTGTTTATCGTTGAGCCATTTCTTCACCCCAGTCATCCCCTTTTCATTCTACCAAGTCAGGACATGGGGATGGTGTGAGGGTCAGTGGATTTACTCTGTGTTCTCAGAACTCAGAACTTAATGGAGGGCAGAGCTTGAGTGGTGGGACTTGATCCTAGGAGCAAGACTCGCTGGGGGATTGGATGAGGGGGGTGGGGGTCAAGGTTCTGCTCAGCTCTCCTCTGCTCCTAGTCCTCTGTTCTATATTACCTTTATGACTGAATTCTTAGGGATTCTGGGCCCTGGGTAGAGGTGAGGATGGCAGGTAAGCCTAGTGATATCTAAATATATTCATCAGACCTTGCAAATCCTACCAGATCCTCTCAGTTCTCATCTTCCCTTTCATTTGATAACCACTACCCCCAACCCAGTCTCTATAAGAGAAGACCCTCACATGCTCCCCCAGGAACCTTGGATGAGCCAGCCTGCTAAGGCCCCTATGGGACCAGACTGCTGAGCTTTGGGCTTAGATTGTTAGCATCAGAGAAAGGAGGGATGTTTATCTGGGGGTATCTGAGTGGGAAAGGAGCTACAGAAGTAGGAGCAATCCCTGAGCTGGGATCCTCCCTTGTGGTCAAGGCAGCATTGTAATCCTTGGGAACAATGAGTACTTGAATTTCATCCCTACCCTCTATGATCTTTGCCTGTCTAGGCCATCCTTGAAGTGGGGAGGGCAGTATTCTGTATCCCAAGTCCTAGGATTGTAGGCATATACCATTGTGCTCTATTTAAGTGGTGATAGGGATTGAACCAAGGCTTTCATGCATGCTAAGTAAGTACTTTACCAACTGAGATACATCTGATTAACTCTTGGATGTCTTAATGACGAGAAGAGTTTCATTTTTCTAAAAATTTCAAAGCACATCTTTCCAAAAATTCCCACCATGCCCCCGAATTGACAGTAATCCTAACCTGCCATCTTAGAGTTTCAAAAATCCAAGGGCAACATCAGACTATAAGGATGGAGCACATGACTTCAACAACAACACAAAGAGAAAGTTACCTGATGTAGCTACTTCCAAGTCTTGATCTGCTTCTGACTTCAGATTAGTGAGCATCTCCCTAGAAAATAGAGATACATTTTAATTGATTGTGGATAAGCTGACATTACCAATTCACAGAGGCACTGAAAATAATTTTCATGCACACGTTCATAAAAACTGTGGCCTGTTCATACCAGAAATAAGGAAGCTAACTAAGGATTCTCCCCCTTCTTTTTTTATTTTTATAACCCCAGATTATGCTATATCTAGGACAGAAGGACTGTGCCTGTCTTAGGTTGTCTTCTGCCAGAGCAAAGCCTTACCCGTCATCGGCACGTAGCTTCCATCAGCTACGCCCTGTCTTAGGTTGACTTTCTCTCAGAAGATCTTACCCGTCTTTGACTACCAGCCTCTGTTAGGGGAGGGAGCGCAATCTC